AGTTAACATCTCGCCATCGCGGCAAAAAAAAGTCCGTCGGGAATACATGTGACCTTAAAATTTTTGGGGGGGGGGGGAGAAAATAATAAAAGTGGACATTGTGGCCAATGGCACATCTCAGTAGCACATAACTGGATAGGCCGGAGGGATTTAGTGAATAATATTTGGAGACTCCACGATACATCATGGGGCCCTGGTAGACATTTAATTTTGAGAATGTTTCCAGATGACCGGTCTTCAATTGGCATGTGAACTATTTGCCCGTTTTGTAGATATACTGAGTTCAAGTAAAACCTAAAAAAAAAAAATCTTAAATGTGTTTCCGAAACCGATTCACTTTAAAAGTAAAAGTCGTCAGAGGTTGTTCGCACTTCACACAAGGTGGGTGGGTACGCGTCGGAGCCTTTGCTTATTCATCTGGGTGTGAATGTGCGAGCACGTGATCCAGCACCCGAGAGCCAAGAGTTGGTGGATTATGCAGAATATGTAAACCTCTCAAACCCATTGGGCTGCACTAGGGGTGACCGGCCGCGTGGGTTTGAGGGGTGAGCACGCACGGTTGGCTACGTACGGTGCGGAAGAAGTTCAGCGTGCATACGTGCATGCGTGCAGGTGGTTTCCTGGACCCAGCTGTGCAGACTTTGCGAGGGTTATCCTCAGCTGTGCATCGTGGGTGTCCTCCAGGGAATCCGGTTGCTTTGTGCTGGGCGGGGGAGGGGGTTCCATGCGCTCGTTCTGCACAGCTCTGCGATGTTGTTAGGTCGTGCCGCACACTTGGTGTTCGGCGCTACAGCGTCTCGCCTTTTTGCAGAAAGAGCTCGGAGGAGTTTTTTTGTTGGACCTGGATTTTGTTCGTCCGCGTAAAATACCTTTTTTTTCCTTTTAATATACAAATTCGCTGAGCAACGCCCATTGCGGGATCCTTCCCCCCTAGGAAGGACTTGAGACTCAAGTGAGGTTTTTTTCCCCCTATTTCTTGGATTAAATAAATAAATGGCACCATTACAATCAGGTGTGAGCCCTTTGAGATCACGCGCCTCTTTCGACGGAAAACACAACATAGCACACATGTTAAACGAACATTGTTGATTGAGCAAGTTCCCGCGTTAGATACATGCACTGCAACGTAAGCAACTTATTACTCTTTTAACATCGCCATCGGTGATTTCAGTTAGCTTATTCTGAGTTTCCGGTCAATGCTGTGGTGTTGCCAACGCTGGGCTTGCAATCCGGAGGTCGCCGGTTCGATTCTATCCCCCCCCCGGAGAGGCAGTTGAAACAATGGGAAAAGTTCCATAAATTCCTCCCCCTCTTTGTATCCACCCAGCGGTATGAAATGGGTGCAACTGCCGATCGCCGATCGTCAGGTCACGTGTGGCGGGGTGAAGTGTGGGTTACTCCCACCCCTTCCAAGAAATGTGGAAGATTAGACCGAAATACCTCTTGAGTGAGAGAGTGAGAGGCTCTCTCGAGCTTCCCCCTAGCAGAGGCCTTTCCACCAGCGGTAGTGTGAGCGAGACATTGCGGAGGGTGGCTGCACCTTTACCTCGTCCACGACAACGATGACGGAGTGGCGGAGGCCACGGAAACCCACCCTGCGCGTTGTCAACGGTGGCAGGGTAGAGACGATTGGCAGAAGAACGCTGGCACCAGCATTCAAGGTCACCCTTCGGCAAAGACAATGACGATGATGGATTCTCATGAACGGCAGATACGGTATTAATATCTCCCTGCGGGGAGAATCTAAAACTGGAAACAGCAACAGGTGTGTTTGGGCATCCTCGTGGCAGAGGAAATAAATGTGGTAATAAATTGCATCGACGGGTGGGTAGGGGGGAGGTAGGAGAGGGGTTTGGGCGGGGGGCGGAGATCGGGGGGCATGGGCGTGAAGTGAACGTGGCTCAAGACGAGGAAGAGAGGAGGCAGCGTGCGTGACGGTGAAAGCGTCTCCAAGTCTCTTAATAGAGCGGCCGTTAAGCGGGCTCGTTTGCACGGCATTGCCTCTCGTTGCTTGTGCTGCGAACAGACTCGTTTCGTTCACGACGCTTTTACGTGGCCGCGTTGTTTCACGAGCGATACGTTACGTCTTTTTTCGCCGTATGTGCGCGGATCGGGCACCAGGTAAGATTACGTAGACGCAGCTCAACCGACCGCGACGTGAACAGAAATCATTGCATTTACGCCCGTGGTTTTATTTTTTGGTGTGAAAAAAAAATGCCCTACTTGTATCCAGTGATGGTGTCGGCGCCCCGTCATGTCATTGAGATGTCATTGACATGAAGCTATCGTTCAGAATTCCCACAGAGCGGTATGTCTGTACGTATGTTGAACTTCCTTTGCACCGTACGTAGCCAACTGTGCTAATTGGAGGCGCGGGGGAAGGACAGCAAACTGAACACAAAGATCAGTTCTAAATAAATGAGTTTTCAATTCAGATTGTAAGTGCATAGCTCCAGTGGCTTCCTAATATCGGAAAGGAAGAGTGTTCCAGACGGCCACAGAAGCACATCTGAAAGCGTGCAATGCAGTGTGTGAGTCCATGGATTTCTGTGACGAGTCTATGGGTGTCTGTATAATTCTATTGGTCTCTTTGTATCTATGTATGTTGAACTGCTTTTACACTGCACGGAGTCTGTAGTGTTATTTGGAGGTGCGCTTGGACGAACAACAAACAAAGCACAAAAAAGCCGTTCTAAAGAAGTGGGTTTTCAATCTTGATGATTTAAAAGTTCGTAGCTCCAGCGGCTTCCTAATATCGGAAGGGAGAGCGCTCCGAACGGCAGTGACCCCGTGTAGTGGAGAACAGACCACAGAAGCAAATGTCACAGAACCACTCCTTGAAAATCAACCTCAAGTGAACATGGCTCCACACTAAGGGTGTCCTTTCCTGCACATCTGACGCAACGGTCAAACCAGTTGTATTAATTCTCACCGTGGGAATTGTGGCACGTTAAGTGAAAAACTAAGTTTAATATCAGCGTGTTTTTGTTGCACAGTTATTGGTGACAAGACTGAGACCATCGGCTCGCTATACAACACTTTAATCTGCTCTGGCGAAAAACTCCCGAGTCGAAATCAGACTCTCAGTTGTACCAGATTATTACTCTGAACCCTGAGCCATCTGGACATATTTTATGTCTGTGGTTTTATTTAATGTTTTCATAAACGCAAGTGAATGTGATTTGCTGCTCAAATTAGCATTGAGGCATTGATGCTCATTTCCCGTTTGCAGCCCTGAGGCAGTGGTGGAAATTCCACAATCTTATGGCGGGGGCAAGGATATCCGTAGGACAACCACCGTTTAGAGGAGGAACGGGAGGGTCGGGAGATTGGGCTTGCTGCCCCTATTGAGTGGGGACTGCGAGCGGGGTGTGTGTACTGTCATGTGGGAAAGAGAAGGCGAGGGAAGAATAACTTAAGAAAGGGAGCAGAGGGAGTGGTGGGAAGACGGGGGGAGGGGTAGGGTAGGGGGGCAATGGTAAAAGGAAAGGGAAAGAGCACTTAGTAAGGAATAACTGAACACGCGCGTTGGTGAACTTATCAACCTGTCATAGTCCCGGCGAATGCGTCCGTGTTTATTTTGACGCGTTCAGCGCTTGAATTTTCTTTGGCTTCGGGGTTCACTTTTTGCGCTGGCGATGTTTCGCTCCCTCCGCTGCGCCGAGAGCGGCAGCCGTTTGTAAAAAGGAGGGAGCCTCTCGAAAATCAATCGCCCACCGTGCCTCTCGGCCAAGTCAAATGGACATTTCATGTCCGCGTGTACCAAATGTGTTCGTTTTCGAATCTGGCGGAACGGCAAAACGATGCGAACGTTTCACAATGACATCACGCAGGGCATTGCGCGGGGGGGGGGGGGGGAAAATAAAAAAGGGGGGAAAAAAAACATCTTCTCATTTTATTGCCAAATTGCATTGTCCCACGGCTTCCATAGCCTTCGTGAAGTAGATCACCAGCAACGCATTTGCGGTGAGCACTTCCGCCGATGTGAAGCGAGGTGGGACGAGTGTACGTGGCTGCGCTTGGTTTTTCGCGGTTCCTGTTTTGTGTGCGATGACTGAACAATCGCGACGACGAAATTCGCCGCTGACGCGGCCGCGCTTTATTTGGTCATCTGGAGAAACATCATAATGTGCGTTTTTTTTTTGTTTGGTTCGTGATGTGTCAAAATGATTGAACCTTGGAAATCCCTCGTGATGTCTTGTTTGCAATTGAGCCCAAAGTTGGTTTGAAAGTCCCTTGTTCCGCCCGACAGGCAGCTGCCTGCACCTTCATTGGCTCGTGTGTGTGGTCAGGCTAACATCCGTTTGAATCTCTCGGCCAACACCCTTGTTTCGATTGGACCCCTGCATATGACCAAGCACGTATCTTGCACAGTTTCCGAGCACTTTTGAAAGCCGCAGTGATTATTTGCTCAAATGAGCATTGAGGCGGTGCCAACCTCTTGCCTACAGCCCTGAGCCAGTGGTGGAAATTCCACCTTCCTATGGCGGAGGCAAGATCATCCGTAGGATAACAACTGTTAACTTCTCCACAAAATCGTAGCTATTTTATCCACCCCGGAGAGATGCTGGGTCGAGTCGACCTTCCCGTTGTGAGCCGCTCACTCCACCGCCTAGCTACCGTTCGCTTTACCCACAATACTGTTCAATAACACCGGTGATTTGGAGAGTAAATCCACAACATTTACAATTTGAGTATGACGACAGACATTTCGCTGGTGATTACAACCAGCTTCATCAGGCGATTTGCCATAATTGTGAAAGATTCTTCCTATTTCGATCTTATATAGAGCAAAGGCAATTGGCACGTTTTGTTTAAGTGACAAACCTTACAAATTGGCTGTGTCGGATGGTGGCGGGTTCACGACACGTTAACATTTCCGCGAACTAACCTAAAAAAAAAACCCGTTATCATGGATAATATTGGTCTCGAAATCCTAACTACGTATTCAAACCGAACACTGTTCAACTCTCCCTCTGACCCCGTCTCCCCGCCTCCAGAAATCATGGGCCCTGCTGAGGAGCTCCCCGCCGTCCACTGGCGCCAGCGGTGGCTGGAGAACGGCACGCTGCACTTCCGCGTGCTTCGCGACAGCGTGGCGCTGCGCTCCCCCGTCGCGGTGCCCACCCTGCGGCCCAACTCCCAGCAGCTCGACGAGCAGCTGCACATGCTGCACGTCTCCGTCATGGTGAGCTTTGGCGCGAGGGGCCGCGATTGGAACGCGCGTCCGCTTGTGCGCGTGTCCGTCACCCTGAGCCCGTGCTCACCACGGGCAGAGAGCCCTGGCCATCGTCCGCGCCATGAGAGTGTCCGCACGCCCCTCCCCCCACTTCCCCTGCCCCCACCTACAACACCGCCACCCATCCAGTTGCGTTCAGATGTTGCTCAAGCCCGGGTCGACGCCTGAGCAGTGAGTCGCGCAGTTCGGCTGCATGCGACCGGAACGCTTTGGCTGGGGCCACGCTCGAGCCACTGGTTCGCTCTACTCAGTTGCATGCAACTGGATCGATTAGGCTGGGTCCACGCCAGGGCATGTTGCTATTCACTCGCTCTTGAGTCATCATCATCATCATCATCGTCGTCATCACCGTGCCTCATATGCAGTGCAATAGGCAAAACGGTGCACCACAACTAGTCGATTCGGTTATCGCATGCGGTGGGGGTAAAGTGTAGCTACCACCACTTCTTACAAGATCTCTGGCCAGCGTGGCTAGAGCAGGCCAAGATACCGCATAGATGTTCTTTCCAGAGCCTCCTGTAGTGGAGGCCCTTCCACCAGCAGTGCAGCGAGCAAGCGGTTGCAGGGGCTGCACCTTCACTTTTTAATCTTCCACCGCTGGCCCTGCCGTGTTCCACTTTTGCAAGTGCCAAGCATGGGCAGCCCGGGAAGCTGCCCTTCCTTCTCGCGGCAAAAGCGATGAGGGTGGCAAGCGCCGGTCTAATGTTGCGTAGAACGTTTGTGGAGTCTCTTTAAGGAAGGCAGGCAGGCCGAACATCAGGATAGATTGTGTCCTTCACAGGCAGGAGTGATGTGTGTCGTGTTGCCGTGTCTTGCCGCGCCGATGCCTGGGGGCGGGGGGGGGTGGAGGAGAACAGCGATGAATTTCAAGTCAGGGAAACCCGGGACACCGACGGGGTCATTTTGCCTCTGACCTCTAAACCATACCCGAGGTTTTGTCGACACAGGAGGCAGCCTTGAAGTGTTCCAACCCTGGGGCGATGATGAGAATGCTCGACGCCTCCGCAAGGCAGTGTTTTCTTGTACTTCTTCTAACTTGCAGCCATATAACGAATCGCCGCGATGGGTGGGAGAGGTGGCGCAGGGGGTAGCACGCCGCTCCGTGAGCCTGCCGATGTGACTTTGATTCCCAGCCGCGGTGGCGAGATGTTAACTCCCTCGCCCGGTTGGCAGGAGGTCGTGGGCTCGATCCTCACCCTGATGTTTGTATATTTGGAGTTTGCACGTCTCTCTCTCCCCGTGGTCGTGGGGATTTTTTTTCCGCAGCCTCCGGTTTCTCCCTCCACATTGAGAAACGTGCGTTTAGAGTATTTTGGCTGCTATGAATTTCCACGCGATAAGCCGCTTCGCTGGGCTATCATTTGTGGCCAGGTCGCTTCTGAAAAAAGAGCTATGTAGCTCAGTGGGTCTTACCTGGTTAAATACAAAATAGTTTCGTTTAATAGTTTCACAGGGTACCATTGTTACCTTCACCAACTGCCCATATACCAGCATGATGAAGTATGGTCAAACGCCTTTTGGGACAGCCTTGTATAAGATTCGCATCGAAATTAGGTACACGTGGGGTGGAGCGCTTGCACGAGTGGTCTGCGCCGGTGAGTTAAATTCCAAGCTATGGCTGAAATCAATGGCAAGCGCTATCGGAACTGGTTCTGGGCCAACCCGCACTGACCAGCGTGGTGAAGTATGGTCAAACAGCCCACGTGACTGACACGGCGTGGGGAGTCCTTCATCCGACAGTGGATTGGAACAGGTCTCTAAATGATTAATCATTAGACGTAATTTATAAAGATTATGAATCACCTACCCCCGGGTGATTCGATGAATCATCCTTATTAGTTTGAGTCTTCTTGTATTTTTTTACGTTCTCTTTTATTTTTATTCTCTCATTCTTACCATTGTGTTTGCTCAGTTTGCCCGAAATGGCTTATAATTTACACGAGTCATGAACACTTCATATGTACGTTGAACTTCTTTCGCACCGCACGTAGCCAACCGTGCTCATCACGCACACGCACGGTCCGTTTTGTCGATTGAAGCCAGAGTTTTGCCAGGTGCCTGCGAGAGTTGGCATGGCCTGCTCTGTCCGGTTTCACAGTTTCACAACCACCACGCCTCCACCAGCTGACATGACGGCACACCGCTTGTTGAGCGCGAAGCCAAACAGACATGACATGGCCGCGGAGTCAATCTGCGTGTGTGTGTGTGTATATGTTGAAATTCGTTTGCGCCCTACGTAGCCAACCATGCTAATGGAAGGTGCGGCGGAAGGACAACAAACCAGACGCAAAAAGCCGTTCTTAAGAAATGAGTTTTCAATCCAGATTTAAAAGTGCGTAGCTCCGGCGGCATCCTAGCATCAGAATGCAAGAGCGTTCCAGACGGCCGCAGAAGAGCGTCAGAAAGCGCGCGGTGACCGTCTCTGTTCGATGGCCAGCCAAAATTTGTCAGCATAACATTTGCCTCCTGTCTGCTTGCAGACGTGCGTGCGGTAGCACTTGTTCGCAGTCCAAGCAAGTGTCGCAAGCAACTGGAATAACGTTCGCAATCACGACGAGGCTCTATTTTGCCTGCGTTTGCCGCAACGATGAGGCAGCACTGATTTTACAGTGGTTGAGGGGGGGGGATCCCTCTTTGTCAGATGGCTCTCCCTTCTCTCTCGCTCGAGTAATGCAAACTCGTGGGAAAACTGTCAGACATTCAAATTAACCACTCAGCTGTGGATTTGCAATTCCACTTTACTGGCCCTTGCTCGGAGCAAACAGACTGCATCCCTTTCAGACCACAAGGGCGGTCTAAGCCGGTTTAACTCTGATAAGTGGCCAAGTGGGCTTAGTGCGTACCAACACCGAGTCAGTTTGCGTGGGGTCAGTGGCTTGTCAATTTATTTTTTACAGGATTGCTAAAGTGCCCGTTAATTGTAAAGAAGTGGAAGGCTCGATTTCATTTCCAGCAGCGGGTGGTTGCCACTCGTATTCCAAGCACCGGAGAGGGAATCGCCTCCCCGCCGTCCCGTCTCCTTTTCCCGAGCTCGAAGAAACGCGTTGAGTCGTTCCTGTGACGAGCTTTTGGTGGTGCTGTTTGTTGCTCGCCGTTTTTTGGGGCATTTGAGCCCACCGTGCTCAGCAACAGTGGTGTAAACAAACGAACAAAAATCAATGCCACGTTTGAAAAAAATCCATGCCAGTCCTATGCAGCACTGGCGCTGGTCCATTGGGAGCATTCATTCCCCCCCCACATTCAATTTATAAACTCCTTGAGAGGTGACAGATGCGATTTATAGACAAGAGATACAGGCAGATAATGTAACTGTTTATATGTACCTATATATGTATGTGTATAGGAGGGATGTTTTTGGGATTTAAACATTTATGATTTTCAGATTTTCAAGGAAAATGTTTGATATAGTGTCAGGTTATCCGATCATTGTACGTCACCTTATACATCTGTGCGTCATCGGTCACACAGATCTTGTCTTCACAAGTGATGTCACTCGAGGCCACGTTACACAATTTTCGTCTGTAAAATCAGCGGAAGGGATGTTGTGATATTTGAGATGTCGCTTCCCTTTTGATGCTTTAATAATTATTATGCTTGTTTACACAGGAAAGTCTCACTGAGTCTCACGACTGTTTGTCAGGAGATGCCTGCCAAGTTTTCCATAGTCGGGGGGGGAAGGAGGGGGGTAATTGCGATGTGTAATCCCCACAGGGGGCATCACGGTGGCTAGGAGATGTTAACCTTCTCACCTGGTCGACAGGAAGTCATGGGTTTGATCCCGACCCTGATGCCTGCTGTATATTTGGAGTTTGTCTCTTTTCCCCGTGGTCACGTGGCTTTTTCTCCGGGTGCTCCAGCTTTTCCCCTCCACATTTAGAATCAACATATTGCGATACATTTCTACGCGATAAGCCACTTCGTTGAGCTATCATTTGTGGGCAGGTCGCTTCTGGAAAAAAGAGCTACATAGCTCAGTGAACCTTACCTGGTAAAATAAAAAAATAATTTAGTTTTTAGTTTACAGTAAATTGCGGTGTAATGTTTCTCATTTTAACCATAGCGCCGGCACACAATGGCCTACCCTTGCAAAAGACGTGACGGAATCTTTAAATGTCCACTGTGAAAGCAAAACGGCGTTTGGCATTTTTCGCAGCCATTACACCCGCAGCGCTAACCAGAGTGGCCGCTGGATTCCAAACCACGAACCTCCGTGACGGGCAACAAACTAATTCTCGCCGGGCCGCGTCACCGCGCATTTAAACGAACTTTTCTCTCTCCCGATAGTCAGTCGGAACCTCGGTGGCTGACACCACGCCGTGCCAAGCGCGCGGCCTCTCTTCTCGGTCACACGGCAGTCTGCGAAACAGCTGTGCTCGCAAGTTGTGTTTTACTGGGCACTTGCAACAATTGCACTTACAGTCTGAATGCGGGTGGGCTGTTTGGCTTGGCCAAACGTTGCACCTTTGTAGGGCATGTGCAACCGGCCAGCTGCACACCCCACAAGGTCCCGTTGTTCTTTTGAAGTTTTAGCAGGCGGGCACCTGCGTGATGACCGTATTTGTGCTTGCGAGTGTGATAATGTGAGCGAGCGCGCGCGCGTGCGTGTGTGTGTGTGTCGAGCGGTAGCGGTAGTGCAATGGTTAGCGCGTGCTGCACTATGGACCCCCCCCCCGGCGACCCGAGTTCAATTCCCGCTCACGGCCAGCGCCATTATCTGAAATGGTCCTGGGCCTCCCCTAGGTCGACTCAGCCTCAAATACATACCTGTTTGCATGTGTAAATATCACCATTGGGGAGACAAAGGCGGTCGGTCGAGCCGGCCTTCATGTGTGAATACTAGCAGCAATCTTTGTTGTCCTTCCCCTGCACCCTCCCATATGGCACTCTTGGCTACGTACGGTGCAAAAGAAGTTCAACATACACACACACACACACGCTTGCCGCAACAG